TGCGTTGTGAATTGGCGCTATATAAATAAACTGAATTGAATTGAAACAAAAGTGTTGATGACAGCAGAGCAGGTGATATTTCTCTTTGTCCTTGATGTCACAGCCAAACAGGAGTAGACCAGATGAAGCTACTATGAGAAAATGCAGAAAGAACATATTATTAGAGATTGAACAAACAAATTCAACTGACTCTTGACCTCAGTATTTTTTGGGCCCTGTGTACAGCCCTGAAGGCAGATACAATATACAATAGGGATGGCCTATGAAGCAGAAAGATTATAAGTGGTCCCTATGTCCTCCAGCAGTCTAAGCCTATAGCAGCATAACTATAGAGATAGCTCAGGATAACCTGAGCCACTCTAACTACAAACCTTTCTAAAAAAGGAAAGTTTTATACCTTGCCTTAAAAGTAGGCAGGTTTCTGTACGAGGTGATGGCTATTGTGAATAGCAGGCCGCTAACAGTAGAAAACCTAAGTGATCCAAGTTTAGAGCCTCTTACACCAAATCATATTCTGATGATGAAGTCTGCTAACCTGACAACAGCCAGATGCATGCATCTGGCTGTTGTCAGGTTAGAAGTCTGGTGTTATTCTGCCCCCTCCTTGGGAATTTGTGAGTCAGGACTTGTACTTGTGAAAGAGGTCAGTTTTTAGTCAGTGAATTCTTGACAAGGTGGATGAAAGAATATCTTCTTAATCTTCAGCAAAGACAAATTTGGCAAAGAGACAAAAGAAATGCAAAAGTAAACGACATTGTTCTCCAAGGACCAAGTGGAAACTTGCAAGAGTAACAGCTGAATATCCAAATGCAGATGGAAGGATCAGGAAGGTGAAGCTGTTGTTAGATGATTCGACCTTGGATAAGAATGGACAAAGGACTGTCAAGCCAGTGTATCTTGATAGACCAGTTCGTAAAAGTGTGTTGTTACTGGAAGCACAGTAAATGTTAAAATGTAAACATTTGCAATGTTACATGTTTGAAGTTAAATCGCTAAAAGTTAGTGATTTGGTGGGAGTTTTACTGACATATTTTAGTTTACATGTTTTATTTTGCATTATGCAATTTCTTTGTTATTAAGATTCTTATATTGAAGGACTTACCCGGTATGTATAAAGTTGAATCTAGAATGTTCACTGGAAAACCAGAAGAAAAGATAAACTCAGTATAAAGGCATGACATTTACAAGAAGTTGTACGAAGAAATCTAAGTTTAAGAAGTCCTTTATTTCTCATTTCTACCTCAAAAGGAAGGGTCAGCCAGAGAGGTATGTTTATATGTATTTATATTATTTTTTAGGTCGTTTTGTACTCATGACACCATCTCACTTAATTAAAATACAATATTAACTATTAGTTAATGTTGTATTTTAGTTCGACTGTGGTTTTGGTGTCAGTGGCAAAGAAATTATAAGAAGATTTGCAATAAAACTGACTTCACACCAGCAGTAACAAACTCTTTATTGCCGTCAAGAAGAGGTGGAAGTGATACTATTGTTGGATTCAATTCTAATCTAATAGTGTGATAATAAAGGAGAAATATGTAATTCATTAAATACTTTTTTCTGGAATGGTAAATAGTTTCAAACTCTAAAT